TTATGAAGAAAGAAGTAATCCGACAAGCACGTTCTCATGAGGGTGTGAGGGAAAAGCCCGCGCTGCCGGTGGGGAGACTGTGGGAAGGGTAGTTGAGGTGGGGTGTGGGGCTGGGACCAGACCTCTGCTCTCTCAGGACTCTGTTCCTGCGAGGCTCTGCTTCCAGAGAATAGATGACACTTGTTCCTGTTCTGTGGCCTAGGCTTTGTGTTTCCCTCATATGCAAACACTCAGTCACAGTGTTTCCAAATCAAAAAACAATCTGATAATCCAATGTTGTTACCCTTTTGCTTCCAAAATCGACTTAAAACAAAAACACAAAAACAAGCAGACGAACTCATTGGCTTTGAGTTGATTCTGAGTCATAAAACCCTCACAGGACAGTAGAACTGTCGCACAAAGTTTCCAAGGCTGTAATCTTTGTGGAAGCGGCCAGCCACCGTTTTCTCCCAGAGCCCTTGGTGAGTGTGAACCTTGAACCTTTCGGTTGGCAGACGAGAGCTTTCATCGGTGTATGGCCAGGGCTCCTTCGCTGAGGTGGTCAGGCGCTCTTGAGTCAGTTCTGACCCATAGTGATCTTATGCACAACAGCAAAACACTGCCGGTCCTGCGCCCTGCTCACAACTGTTCTTTCTCCTGCTTGAGCCCAGGGTTGCAGTCACGGTGTCCATCCATTTCCTAGAGGGCCTTCTTTCTCACTGCCCCTCTGCTGGACCACGACGGAGGCCCTCCTCCAGGGACTGGTCTCTCCTGACCACATGTCCAAAGTATGGCAGACGAAGTATCGCCATCCTTGCCTCTTAAGAAGCACTCTGGCCCTACTTCCTCCAAGACAGCTCAGTTTGCCCTTCCAGCAGCCCTGGCACTTCCAGCATTCTCCTCCAGCAGCACGGTTCAAGCTGAAATGACCTGCCCAGAGAGCACAGTTCGGAACTGGCAGAACGTATGCTTTGAGTGCAGAGCTATCAACACTGCTCTGTCTCATGAACGGTTGAAACAGTGCTGCACAGGTCAGATTACCACCACGCTGTTCTGCCCTAATGGGGAATTTTTTGGTGTATTTGTTAGATCATGTATTCTCTCGAGCTTGCCACAGTTGATCTTTTGTGAAGGGTGTGGACGGGCGTTCTGAAGAGTTCGAAATTTATTCTGTCAAATAAATGAACACAGTGTGTTTCCTCTGTGAATTGGAATTTTCCGGTCCGATCTCTTTGGTCGGTTAGAACTTAAATGAATCATAACTGTCATGGCTAGTTTCCTATCGCACTAGAACGCAACCCAGAGAGCAGAACAGGAATGCCCTGAGCCACGACCCATCAGGAAAGAGGTCTCACAGAAAGGGAAAGCCTGAAGTCCGAATTCACGGCCTCCTTTGCCACACCACACTGACCTTTCTCATGTGTTTCTGTCCTTTCTGATCCAGCTCCCCGTTCCTTCTTTCTGACTGCCTGCTTTCTCTTGCAGCCTTTCTACCAGGTTCGGCACTGTCGCTGTTCCTAACATTTTGTTATTTCAAGGAGCTAAACCAGTGGCCAGATTTAACCATACGGACCGAACATTGGAAACTCTGAACATTTTCATTTTCAACCAGACCGGTATGTAAAAATAATATGTCATGGAAGATGTCCTATACTTAACAATATATGTCTTCTAGAAGTTCTGATTTGCTCTCATTTTTGCCCTGAGTGTTGGAGCCAAGATTTACTCTGAGATGTACACTTTTTTCTTCTAATTAACTATCTCCCAATCAGGGACAAGCTTAGCACGAGCCAAGTCATACCAGTGATTCTAAACTCCCTGCCATTGAGTCACTTTGGACTCACAGTGACACTTACAGCACAGAGTGGAACTACCCATCTGGGTTTCGGAGGCTGTCCATCTTTACCAAAGCCTCATCTTTTTTTCTGCAGAGTGCCTGGTGGTTTTGAACCACCAGCCTTGTGGGTAGCAGCTCAGTGCATCACCCACTGTGCGTCCAGGGCTCCTTCATAGAAACCTGTTTCTGGAGATATGTTTTATTGAGATACATATTCACATACCAATATACTTCATCTGTAGGTATCTTTTAATATACATGTTTAGTATAATATGTGTGCAAACGTATGTGTACATCACTGTGTACAGCATGAGGAATTTCCATCAAGTGAGCCCCCTTGGTAACTAAAACTCGGGTCAAGAAACAGAACATTTCTCTCTTCAGAGAGGCTACGATCTTGACTCCTCTGACCATAATCCAGTGGTGCCTATTTGTGAATTGTACATTAATGGGGACATAGAGTATGCATTCGTTTGTATCTGGCTTATTTCGTTCAACATGCTTGTGAGATTCATCTATATCATACATAGTTTGTTTTGTTCATGTTTGTTGCTGTCTGTTGTTCCATTTATTAACCCGCGGGTAGGTGCCATTTTAGGGAGCCCTGGGGGCATAGCGATTACGCCCTGGGCTGTAATCTGCGAGGTCAGCTGTTTGACACATCATGGGAGAAGACGGCTCTCTGCCTCCATAAACAATCACAGGCTTGGCAACCCACAGGGACAGTTCTACCCTGCCCCTGAGTATCGACATCAACAAGTGGCAGTGATTTTGAGCTGCTATTTGAATTGCACAACATTGGCCAAACGTTTGCCTTACCTTTTACTCTGTTTGTGAAAATTGGACATTGTAAATTGAAGACATTTCTTTCATTGGGAATGTTCCTCTTTTCAAAAACTAATACCTCGAATACGAACACCCCAGTTCTACCTCAAGTGTATCATTAGAAATACACACACACACACACACACACACACACACACACACATATATATATATTGCAATAAAGTCTTCATATACTTATATATATAATTACTTTTTAAATATAATTACTTCTGCACGGGGGGCATTATAAAGTCTGTAGAAAATGGAATTAAAAGTTAGTGGAATCCCCCCATGAACTTTTTGAAGCCCCCTTGTATCCCAGAGCAGACAAGGCAAGGCTTCCACGTCCCGAGTGGAGGGCTGTGAGGTGTTCAGAGATGCCCAGTGTTGTCGTGGTTGCTGCTTTCTGGGGCCCTCATGGTCACTTAGATCGCTGTGGAGAGAGGTACCCACTCTGCTCAGGGCTCTGACAAACCTCGAGTCCAGGAGCTGCAACATCTTTGGTAACCCCGAGTCCCAGTGGTAGTCAATTGTCCTAGCAGTTCTTCAGTTCTCTTAGTAATTTAAAACGTAACAAAGCAAAACCATCTGAAGTTAGCAGTACTTAACCTGTGGAAAGACTGTACTAGTTACTTGTTGAACTTTGGTCTAAGAAAAGAACAAAAGAACATTCTTGGCATTCATTGGTGAGGAAACCTGCCGAGTTCACAGAGATTCTGGTTTTCGCTTTGAACAGCTGAGTGAATTCCTGCCTCTTTGATGTGGTGGGAGAAAGGCAAGTTGCAAATTACACCGACAGGCAAGTGAAATCCATCCCAGATCTGCTAGCTAGCGGTGGTGCTTGTATTCAGACTGCGTATCATTTTGCGTACCAGGCGTGATACTTCAGAAGAATCTCTGGCAGGTGCTTTTTCTGACTGGAAACACCTGATTTCTCTTTCAGGTATAGAAGCCAAGAAAAACGCGGCGGTCACTCAAGCTGACCAAATAGGCCCTCTTCCCAGCACTTTGATAAAAAGCGTGGACTGGTTGCTTGTATTTTCCTTATTCTTTTTAATTAGTTTTATTATGTACGCCACCATCCGAACTGAGAGCATCCGGTGGCTAATTCCAGGACAAGAACAGGAACACGTGGAGTAGTGGTCGACTGAATCTAGAAGTTGGAAAGAGGAATTTCAGGCTGAACGCTGCAATTTCATGTTTTCTCCAGTGAAGTGTTGACCTGCAGCTTTCTTCAGATTAAAGAATCATGCATTTGTTAACCACTGAATGTGTAAAAGAAATTATCAATGGGCCTTTTAACAAGTGTTGTAATAAGCAAATGCAGAACTGTCCAATGGAATTGACTGTTCTTGTTTTTACTTGCGTGCCATACGACATGTTAAGGGAGAAACTCATTTAAGACGTGCCATTGTATGCTGGTGGAATCGTGAGTAGAGTGCACTGTGCCTGCTGTGTAGCAGAGAGAAGTAGGACTTTCAGAGTATAGTTTTAGAAAACTCTTAATTCCCCACCTGCCCAAGAAGGTTGGCTTTCTGTTCTTTTGCAATTTCTCTCCCAGAGGCTGTGAGCAGGGAAGCGCAGTGATGGGGAGAGTAACTAGGAGCGACATATATATATATCTATATATATATAGATATATATATATATAGAGAGAGAGAGAGACTCCTGAGGAGTGAATGACTAGTGGGGTTTGAACTGCCAACCTTTCAGTTAGCAGTTCAACACCTATCCCACCGTGCCAGCAAGGCTCCTATTGTCTGCAAAATGCTTATTGTTAGGCTGGTCAGAGTCTGCTAAGGACCAGAGTTTTCTTCCATGTTTGATCCGGAGCCGACACGATATAGTTCTGTCCCAAGGCTGCCCCTGTAAAAAGTTCTGCACAAACAGGATGGGATGTGCTTTTGTCAGAAACCAAGGACAGTGACAGCCAGGAAGGAATCACCAAACCACGAATGATGACCGGAAATGACTTACCTGCAGCCTTTATGATGCTGATGGATCACGAAAACATCAGCCGGTATTTTCCACCCCAGAGGGCCGACCCTGCATTTCTGTACAGCATATAAGGGCACTAGGTCCTGAGCTCGGGCTGATGCATGGTATGGTCTCAGTTGGGGCTGATTCTGCCTC